AAAGCACTAGAACAGAGCAGGCCCTCAGTAAATGCTACTCAGATTGGAGGCTTACAAATTATTCCTCCATAATCTCTCAAAAAGTTTATGTTTAGTTTGTGAGTAGTATCCCTTAAAAATAAAATTGAACCAAGTTTTTAGCCTTGCGTATGTTGACATAAGCTACTTGAAGACTGCTACTTTTCAGTGCTTAAATTAGTATTCAATTTTTGTCTTAGAATTCCTGGCTTGAATTATGCTGATTGGGGTTGAAAATAGAACTTCAGAATGAATAATGGGTATTTCACTTTGCTTTTATGCCATACAAATCAGCAACAAATGGGCCATTTAAAACACTATACTTAAATACTTAGCAATGACAAAACATAATGCTGCATTAATTTAGCAAGCTTGAAACCTTTATGGTGTCTGCCTTTTATATGTTTTTACATAAATATTAATTCATAAAAAGTTTACCAAGCAGATACTATTTTGAAGTACTTAATTTTTACTAAAATACTTGATGAATGTGGTCAGCAAAATCTGCCCCATTGGCCAAATCTGGCCCACCATCTGTATTTGTACGGTCCAATGGCTAAAAATAATTTTCACATTTTTAGAAGATTGAAAAAAATCTAAAGAAGAATATTTCAAAAAATTATCTGAAATTCAGATTTCGGTGTTCATAAATGAAGTTTTATTGGAACAGTCATTCATTTTTGTATTGTCTATGGCTGCTTTCACACTATAATAACAGAGTAGAATAGTTGCCACAGAGACTATACTTACTACCTGGCCTTATTACTGACAAAGTTTGCTGACCCTGATGTATACCGATTGAGTTTATTTGTTTGTTTTTGAATATTTTATTGTGTTTTAGGTGAACGTTTACACAGTAAATTAGATCCCATTCAACAGTTCGTATGCAAATTGTTCTGTGACATTGGTTACAAACCCCACAATGTGTCAGCAGTCACATCATTTCCACCCCCCCTGCCCCATCCATCCACCTTCCCTGCGCCTCCTTGCATTCTCATCTTTGCTTTTGAATAAATGTTGTCTGTTTGGTTGGTCTTCTATAGTTGATTGTTTAAAGGAGCACATTCCTCATGGGTAATATTGTTCATTGCATAGGCCAATCTGTTATTTGGCTGAAAGGTGACCTCCGGGAGTGGCTTTAGTTCCAGGTTAGAAGGGTATCTTAGGGTGGTAGTCTTGGGGGTTCACGTAGTCTCTACCAGTCCAGTATGTCTGATCTTTTTTATGAACTTGAGTTTTGTTCTACAAGACCAATTGAGTTTTGACAATATGTATCGCATATTTATACCTACGCAGGGAGCCCTGGTGGCACAACGGTTAAGCACTTGGCTACTAATCAAAAGGTCGGAGGTTCGAACTCACCTAGCAGCTCTGTGGGAGAAAGATCTGGCAATCCGCTCCCATAGAGATTATAGCCCAGAAAACCTTACAGTGCCATTCTACTCTGTCTCTATGAGTCGAAATTGACTCGACGGCATCTAACAATAACAAATACCTAAATAACAGAAATTAGTCATCCTAC